GCTGTTATTTGCTGTATTATTATTATTATTATTATTATTATTATTATTATTATTTGAGTTAAAAAAAACAGGGGAGGCTTAGACCCTGGCAGAGCCCAGAAGAGGAACCTATAGGTGTAAATTGGAGACCTGAAATGGAGTGGAACTGCAGCATTCATTGCTCCAACTTTAAGTCATATATTCATCAGCACATTTTATTTTCTTTTGTTTTAGGGAGATGCAGGATTGAAGGGGTCTGATGGAACCCGAGGCAGAAAGGTATGTTGTGTGTTCAAACACATATTTATTCATCTGGCAGCTGATGCTACAGTGGGTATTTTCTGGTGGGGACCTGCAGAACATTTTGGAACAACACGCCTAGTGTTATACAGGGTATTCTGGACCCTAGCTCTTTAAAAGAGAGGTTATTTTCTCAAGACTTTGGGCAGACAGATGGGCTCTCTAGATTATTTGCAAGCCTTCCTTTAATTCACTGATTCTCTGTTGCTGGTTTTAGAAAATCAGAAAGGGTCTAGTAGCACCGTTTCCAATTAACACATTTTATTTAAAAAGCTCATGAGAATGTATGCCTTTTAATAAAACGTGTTCAGTTGGAAAAGGTGCTACAAAAGCATAAAACCAACCCAAACAAACAATTGATGAAAGAATTGCAAGAAATTAAATAGCAATTCAGTCTATTAGAAATAGAAGAATTACAGAAGAAAATCAAATTTGTTAAATGGGAAAATTTTGAATGGGCAAATAAGCAGGAAAATGATTAGCTTATCAGCTTAGAAAAAAGAAAGAAATGCAAACAATATCAGCAATAAAGAAAGGATCTAAATTGTTGTACTCAAGACTGGAAATCGTAGGAGAATTGGCAGCATTTTTAAAAGAATTATATTCCAAGACTAATATTGTTGCTATGAATAAATATATTGAACAATCGGTTATTAAAGAATTTAATGATCAACATAGACAAATACTAAGTATACCTATAACTGTTCAGAAAACAAACAAATTAGGAAAAGCACCAGGTCCAGATAGGTTGATAGCTCAGTAGTACAGAGAATTTGAAGAAGAATGATCAGAACCATTGACAATATGATGATGAATGAAATTAAAGGAAAAGATGCTACTAATCTTTGGCTATTATAGACCAGTGGTTCTTAAACTGTTTGGCCCAATTACCCCTTTTTCCAGTCTCAAATAATGTCATTCCCCCCCCCCCACAAAAAAACACTCTGTTGTTTTATACAAGCATCTCAACAATGGTGGTCCTAAACTGGATCCTCAACTCAAAACCAAATACAAATTGCTCCACCACCCCAGGATGTTCCCAAAATACCCCATGGGGGTACTTACCCCAATTTAAGAACCACTACTATAGATTCTCCTTCTACAATGTCTGCTCCTGTTTTGGCTTTCCGATCCGTGCTTCTCTGAGCGTCTTCCTGTGGTTTGTTTTTTGCTTTAATTTTTACGTGCTTAAAAAGAAGGAAATGCTATTTTCCCAACTCACTAGAAATACTTTGCGGCACAATGTTATTTAAAAATTGGTTTTGCAAACTGTTCGTCCTTTTTTACATGAGGATTACAATTTTCTGGGACAGGCCAGGAAAGAACATTTGTGGACTTTAATATTTGGATTTGCTCCCACTGAAATGGGGCTGTAATTGTATGTACTGCTGTAGCAAGACTGTTTTATCCATGCTTTATCCATATTCAGGAATGTATTTGAGTATTGGTGAAACATTGCACAAAAATATTGATGCAATCATACATATTATTGCAGGAAGATTGGTGTCTTATACATGTAGTTTTCGCTTGCTGACCACTCATTCAGCAACTGTTCGAAGTTACAATGGCAATGAAAAAGGAGACTTATGACCAGTCTTCAATGCTGTGGCCATTGCAGTGTCCCCGCAGTCATGTGATCACAATTTGGGCATTTGGCAACAGGCACGCACTTATGACGGTCACAATGTCCTGCGGTCACGTGATTGCCATTTGTGACCTTCACAGCCAGTTTCCTACAAGCAAAGTCAGTGGGGAAGCCGGCAGGAGGTCACAAGTTGTGGTCGTGTGATGTGGCAGTTAATGACCTACGATGATTCACTTAACAACAGCAGCCAGAACTGACATCGTAAGTCAGTGCAGTCATTTGATGTTCCACTTAATGACCACACTGCTTAGCAGCAGAGTTGCTGGTCCAATTACAGTAGGTAATGAGGACTACCTGTTTTATGAATGCACACATGGACTTAGATGAAGTCGTGGTGGGGAGGGAGAGATGCTGACCAACTGAAGGAACATAATGCTGGGGCAAATTGCATGTGTCTATTTCTAAAAATAATTTTAGAAATTGTCGTAGCTCAGTATGGAGAGTCTGCAGACCTCCGATTGTTGCTAAAAGGAAGCTCCAGTCATTCCTGAAAGTATCTGTTCTCCTTATGACTGTTGGAGATTGGAGGCCAGCAACATCAAGAAGAGAAGTTAATCCATGTTTAGCCGAGTTAAACTGGAATTCAGGAATCTGGGAATTGCAGCCCCAGGGCCACTGGAGAGCATCCCATTGGGAAAATGTGCTTTAATTAATTAAGTGCCCTTTGTGTAATTGTTCCAAGAACCTCTTGTACAAGATAAAGATCCTGAATAGGAAGCCAACCTTCTCTGTAGCAGGAATAACCTTATGGAACGGCTTGCTCCTCTACCTTCACCCCAGGTCAGAATGGTCCCCTCTTTCAGAAGGCAGTTGAGACAATTGAGCTCTTCTGCTGGGCCTTTGGAGTGTAAAGATAATGTAGGGAACCACTGTCATTTTTAGGTTGATTGGGGTTTTTAATTTTAAGTGGTTTTCCATTAAATGGCTGATTATATAATTATTTAATTTGATTATTTATAAACTTGCAGTGGTTCCTGTGTACCGGAAGCTGTCCAGAGTCTTCAATTAGAGTTTGCTTGCTTGCTTACTTCTAAACCACCCAGCTAAAATTTATTATGCAGTGTGCAGAAGAAATGGTTTTTAAATAAATAAATAAGTGCAGAACAAAATGGGGGGAAAACACATTGTTCTTCTTATTCTGAATCATCTTTCATTGTTATTCAGGGCGTTCAGGGTGAATCAGGATTTCCTGGTTGGGATGGATCTCCAGGTGGAAAGGTAAACTCCCCATGTGAAAAATTGACCGGGTAGCACAAATATTTCAGATTTAGACAAGATTGGAAAACAGTCCAAAGGTAGCTGTGACTGGACAGTCCTTTCCTGATCTGCCACTTGTCCACCTTAGATAGACCTGGAAAGCGGAAATTGAAATATGGATCTAAATGCTAAGGCACTTCCAGTATAATAAAGGCTCATTTACTGGGACGTTTCTTGATGCAAAATAGCTGAAAAACTAGTGGTTTTTTTTTTTAAGGATAAAGGTTCTGGCCAAGTTTTCTCCCTGACAGATTTGTCTTGTGCATTACAGAGATTTTTATTTTATTTTTGGGCATACTCAGTCATTCAACCATCTCACCCACCCACCCCAATTTGCATTTTTGCCATACTTCCCTAGTTGCACTCTGGATGAAGCAGAAGCTATTGTGAGTAAACTGTGAAGCTCTTTTCTGTTCCTTGCTTTCAGGGTGAATTTGGTGACGTAGGTCCACCAGGTCCAACAATAATTGTTGACACAGAAGGTGCCATCATATCAGGTGGATGCTTTTCCTTACAAATTTACTGCCTCTTTAATATATACAATAAGAAGAATGAAACACTGCTCCCTTAGTTGAAGGCTAGATTAATTTTACCACTCTTGCTGTACTAGGGTCCCATGGCATTCAAATCAGAGTAGACCACAAGCAGTGCCTTCCAGATGGATCACATTGCAGATTCCATAATCCCCTCCTGATGCACTTAATGGCTGTCTTTGCTAGGATATGGGAATGCATCTGGAGGAACCCTAATTGGCAGGAAGCGCTACAGTATTCATAAATGCAAAATTGCTGTATCTGGTTGGTCAGTGCAATCCTCTGTTGTTGAAATTGTTATTGCTGGTCAGGATTGTGTGATTAAGAAAAGAGGGAACCCTTAACAGAAGAAACTAGAGTTGGAAGAAGCCATAAAGTTCATAAAGTCTAACCCCTGAGTCCATGCAGGAATCCAAATTAAATCCTGTGAAATAGGCCCTTCTGCTATTCTTCTGGAGCAAAAGAACCAAATCTGGAGCCCATCTTCTCCTCTTATGGCCTTTCCCATCATCTGATCAACACAGAATATACAGACCGCAGGAATATGACCCATGGGATCCTAGAATTGGAAGGGAGTCTTAAGACAATTGCATGCACGCTTCTGTTTAGTGCAGGAATCAAGATTAAAGCATGCTGGAGTGTTTGGTCAAAATGAGCCAGGAGAGTTTCACCCATCACAGGCTGTTTTCCTTTGTCTTCCTCCTCCTCCCTGATACCAAACGGTATCTTAAATGCCGTGTTTCTTTCCAAGAGATTTGGTCCAGAAGGGCTGAAGGACATCTTCTTTACATGCCAAAGGTCCCTATTTCAATCCTGGGCATTTCCAGATACAGTTAGGAAGACTCCTGTGCTGGTCAGTTTAGGCAGCATTGAATTTTATGGAGTTCTGACTCCAGATAAACCAGTTTCTTACATTCCGAAAGTAGGCTGCTCGCAGAGGGGATGGTGCAGTGAGTGAGATGAAGGAAGGGCAGTTCTGAAGTTATTTCCATCTTTTAAACCCAAGGTCCCCCTGGAGAACCAGGCACACCAGGAACCCCTGGACTGAGAGGCGATGAGGGGCCTATTGGCTCACCAGGATTTCCTGGCCAGCCAGGGTTTCCTCCAACCATTCCAGGTAACCTAGTTAAGGATCCATGGCTAGAGAGAGACTCCCACAGATATCTTCATGTAAAAAGCTGGCTAAAAAGTATCTTATATGTTTTCTGATAAGCGTTGAACATGCCACTAGAAAGCCATGGTCATCATGCTTCTGGAAAAAGGTTACAGAAAATAGCAAAGAGAATAATACGATGAAACAAGGAAGAAGGACCTAGAGGAATTTCTAGTATGCCTCACATATTAGGGCAAAAAAGGGGGAAGTGGGGGCACTGTATAGTTTACCGGTATTTAGAGCAGGTTTTGGCCACCTGACATCCTTTGCCTAATTTCTGGAAGGAATCAATGAAATCATCTCCATCCATCCACCATCCCTGCTGTACTTCTCTTGTCCTTCCATCATTCCTTGTCCAGTTTTATCTGTGGATCTACATAAGTTAAATTAAAAAGCCTCCCTCACTGAGTCCCTTCCAGCTACTGTTAGGACCTATCCTTCTTCACCAGCACTGGCAATCTTTGCTGGGCGCAATGGGACCTCAAAGGGTCAGAAAAGACACATCTGGGAAACCTGCACTAAGATATACCATTTCCTCTCCTTGAAAGCAGTGATGGCATCATGACAAAAACCTGATCCCCAAATGCTAGCAGAACAGTTTTCTATAACCATCTGTGGCTCTTCCAGTCCAAGTGTTAGCTTACCTGGCCAAGATGTGTAAAACTAGGAAATTGGATTCTGTTGTTTTTAGCAGTTAGGTCGGAAAATGAAGAAACAGATTATTGGGGGAAAAAATGAATTGAGATTATAACTCCTGAGACATAGTCCTCCTTTAGGTTCCCCAGGTGTAACAGGAGTCCCAGGGATGCCAGGACTTAAAGGGGACCGAGGAGACCGAGGAAGGACCACAGTGGGACCCCCAGGCCCACCTGGGAAAGATGGATCTCCAGGGTTACCGGGAGTTCCAGGGTTATCAGGTGCTTCACGTAAGTCCATTATCAGGTACAACTTCTTCCTGCAGTGATTCTGAGCATGGAAATTGGTCTGTTTGCCCTTTTCTGTAAGGAAGTACTCATCATCCTGCGTGTCATGACTATACAGTTTTCTAGATCCTTGTGGCTTTTTAAAATCTTTTTTTTCAAAATACAGATACAATACACACAGCAGGTACCATCTTTAATGGAGAACCCGGGCTGCCAGGTATCCCTGGACCAAGAGGGCCTCCAGGAATCTTTGGTGCAAAAGGATATAAAGGTGAGTAGAACTCCCATTGTCCGACAGAGTTTTCCCACAATGTTCCCAGCACTGAATAATGGTCTTTTCAGAACAGGATGACTGTAAGATGTACAGCAAAATCTTACATGAGTCCACTTGTGCATCATTTGTTTTTACTCCTTGGCCTGAGTAATGGCACAGTTTTCACTTTGGTTTGGAGGATCCACACCCACATGTCCCAAAAAGCCTTCTGTTGAGGAAAACAGGACTGTGTCTATTTCTTTATTAGCCTTATATCAGTGGACTAAAACCTGGATCTTTCCACTCCTAGTCCAACACTTTAACCACTCTCGTATTTAGAACTTGAAGGAAAGAGCCAGGCTAATGATCTGACTACTAACTTTGGTGAGCCAGATGAACAAATACTAGGATACGTTCTTTCGGCATCTCCCATAAACCAAAGATGGACTGATTTATAATCAAGATAGGACATAATGCTGAGTCAGGGATATGTTACAAGGGCATGGCCATACCTGGACAATGTGAATCTGCAAAAGCAATGTATTCTTCACTTTAGCCCGTTAGCATGACAATATTCTCACTCATGCTACAGAAGAGACTTGCTGTCCTATGTTCTCCCGATTCTGCTTTTTGTGTTTAAAACAACCTCCAGTTTCTGTTATTCAGTTTTATTTGTGGATTTACTTGTGGGTGTATTTGTGGGTTTAAAAAAGAAGTATACACTAGTATACAAAAACAAGCTAGGACTTTCCAACCAGCATTGTATAACTACCTGGAAGAAATGATGAAACTGAGCAGATCAGATTCTTTTTCTCGTTTCTTTCCCTGATAACATTGGTTGTAAAACTGACTAGAGAACTGTAAAAATGTCAAAGAGGGGATAGGAGAGAATTGAACAACTTCTCAATAATGTGATTGTTTAGAAATGTTGGTAACTTTGATAACCTTTATGACTTCACATCTGTCTATAGTTATCAGTAATTTACCTTGGGTTTTCTATTTTCTAGTATCTTTCTTTTGGTCTTTGACTGTAAAATCGAATTAATTAATTATATTAAATATATATCTTCTTCCTCCAGGGGATCATGGGCCAGGAAAGGATTGATTGCTTTAAAACACAAACAAACAGAAACAACTAAAACACAGAAATGTAGGAACTATGGTTTGAACCTATGCACATTCGCAAATAGAAATTGGATCTTTTTTTTAAAAAGCGTTGTTCTGTTGGTTGTTTTAAATTCACAATCAGCAGATCTTGCACTGTGCTTCTTGGAAGGAACCCACTACTGTTCCTCCATAAGGGGCACCAGTGTGGATCACATCTTCAAAACCAAAATGCTGAGCAGATAGAAAAACAGAAGAAAACAAATAGTTCTGAATTGTGAGCCACAACCATGGTTTGAGATCTCAACTGTGGTGAGGCAAACCATGGTTTAGATACATGTCTGAAATGAATGATTGTTTTCCCAGGGGATGGTGGTGACTGTGCCTGTGACGGAGGAATCACAAGAACTGGCTTGCGAGGGGACACAGGCAGCCCCGGTCAGCCTGGAAGACGAGGTGATGTTGGACCAAAGGGATCCTTGGGGGAGCCAGGAGATGGTATAGTAGGTCCTCCTGGGCCACCGGTAAGTAAGGAATGAATTTCTCTTGTCTGATAGGGAACAATGTCAGAACTAGTTAGATAAACTGAACACAGAGAAGGCAATGAAAACTTTTTGTTTGATGGGAAGAATGAAATTCATCTTTAGAAGGCTGTTTATGGTAGGTGGCCATACCTAGCTGACTTTCCTTTATCTCCAAAGAAGATCAGGCCAGGGTAATGTTTTGCTGGGAGACTACTAGACAACTGTTCATCTCCCCAGCCACCTCTAACAAAGTCCCAGTATATGTTCCTGAAATAAAGAATTGCACTTCCACTTTTTAATCCTGCCCCAGTTTTCTCTCCTCTTCTGCTATGTGCAAATAGCAAGCTTAAAGCATATCTGTGTTGGGTCAAAGTGAGCCAAGGGAGGTCTTCTCCTCCTCCCTGATACCAAAGGATATCTTAAATACCATGTTTCTTTTCAAGACAGTTGGTGCAGAAGATCTGAAGAACATCTTTGTATGCTGAAGGTGCCTATTTCAATCCTGAGCGTTTCCAAATATAGTTAGGAAAACTCCTGTCCTGGTCAGTTTAGGCAGCATTGAAATTTATGGAGTTCTGACTTCAGATAAATCAGTTTCTTACATTCCTAAAATAGGCTGCTTACAGAGGTGATGGTGCAGTGAGTGAGATGAAGGAAGGGCAGTTATTCTCTCTCTTTTGCTGTTGGGAATTTTAGTGGAAGAATATTACATTTACACAAACATTATACTTAGAGAAAATTAGTATAAGATGTTTTCTAGTTGATATATTACTCCAGTCTTGATTGCTAAAATTGATAGTTCATGTTCTAAACATTTCTGGAAATGTAAAGATCAGATTCTTTTTTCATATCTGGAGGCCCAGCAGTGTAGGAAATCAATTCATACTAGAATGAAAGAAATCTTAAAAGCTGAATTCCCCTTTTAACCTGTGATGTTTTTTATTAAACTTTACTAAACGATATATTCCCACAAAGTATACTGAATTAACTTTGTACATGAGAAATGCTGAAAGGATACTATATGCTTTTTAAAGAGAAGGTGACCAAATTGTGAGTGTATGTATGTCTCAATGTGTCGAATATATACGTTTGTCTAGAACTTGGTATCTTAAAAGTAAATTTGGGGCAGAATTTAATTCAAATAGGAGACCATTCCTAGAATACAATTCAGTACATGGATTTGTACTGCATGAAAATGTGGGTTTCTCTCGGCATGAAGTCTGTTTTACAGAACTTCTTAAAATGGAACAGACAAGTATGGACAGAATTTGTTGTGGTTCATAATTGCATTCTCTGACTCATATTGTGCTGACCCTGGATCTTGATATTTAGCTCTGCTTAAAGCTTGATAACGATTTTCAGGCTTTTAAAATAATATATCCATTTATTCACAATTCGTTAAAGATATACTAGAAAATTATCATTTCTATGATATTCGTAAATTCCTTGTTTATTCATTTGTTTCCTACCCTTTTATCCCCTTCTTTGGTTCCTCTTCTTTTCCTGTTTTTAAGTTTTCTCTAAAATGCCTATCAGGATTTTAGTTTTAAGAAATTGGGTTAAAACCACAATAAAAAAAGCACCAAAAGCAATAAAAATAAAAGTAGGGCATCTCCAAGACCAACCTCATCCAGACAATAAATCCTAAAGATGGGCTAACCTAGCACCCTGCCCCGATGTCTGAGAGAAAAACCTAGTTTTCAATGTCATATGAAAGGATGGCAGGGTTGGGGCCATCCTAATCTTGGGGGGAGGGCCTATTCCACAGAGAAGGCCTGTCTGTTGGGCCCCATCCAATGACACTGTTAATGAAACTGCCGGATCTTGTGGAATGGGCAGAAACAATTGGAGATAAGGCACTTCCGTGGTTAATGAGTACATCATCTGTTATTGGTTAACTCTCTCTGTTTGTCTTCCAGGGTTTCCTAGGTCAACCTGGTCTTCCAGGCATTAAGGGACAAAAAGGGGAACCATCTTTAGCCTCAGGCAAAGGACCTCGAGGAGATCCAGGGAATGTGGGACTCAGGGGTCCTTCAGGGCAACCTGGAATTCCTGGTAGGGATGGTGTGCCAGGTGTCTCAGGTCAACATGGTCCTCCGGTACGTTTGTCCATCTTGGAGCCCCTCACAGTAAAATGTATGCCTGTATCTCCCCAAATTGGCAACCAGAGACGCTGAGCTTCATCACTCCAAATTCCTAGCCAGCATAGTCTTCCTGGCTAGGGATTGTGAGACCAGACTGCCTTCCTTTGATTATGTGGGTCACCATGTACAACTCATCAAGTCCTTGACAAAAGAAGTTCTCAGGGTTTGCAAACTCTCTTCTCCCTATGTCAAAGGGCTGACCTTTAGATTAGATGTAGTGGTATTCCTAGGTGAAGATACGATGACGAACCCTCTCCACCCCCACTGCTATTGTATAAGAGCTTTTCATCCCCTATAACTGATTCTCCCCCACCCACTTACCTGGATGCTTCTTACAGCACCATACCAGGAAGCAAGTAGACTTGGGAAACATCATTTTCCCAAGGACAACTGCAGGAACAGGGGTCTGCCATATCTTTAGAGAACGAGGGCTTGGAGACTGCCTGGACTGGATAAAAGAGGTGGTTTCTTTTCCAGTTCAGACCAAACTCCAGACTAGAGGTGCAGGTTCATCTTCCTTAGAGATGGGCTTTATCAGTCCTCAAGACCTTTGCTTCCAAACCAAGAAGTATGAATCTTGATGACTTCGCTAATCATCTTTCTTGATATGGGGATTTTCTTCCTTTTGCCTAGTCTTGTTTTGGTGTCTGTATGCATTAGGGTGATGATGGATTCGGCTTCCCGGGGGACAGAGGTTTCCCTGGATCACCTGGCCCACAGGGGAAGCGTGGTGAAATTGGCCTACCTGGCATTGGTTTTCCGGGGCCAAGTGGACGTTATGGACCTACAGGTGACCCAGGGATCAGTGGCTATCCAGGACAACCTGGCCCTCCAGGGCTGCCAGGTAAGTTACATGGGGATTAAACTGATTTTGGATTGGTCACAACAGCCAGGATAGTGGACCATTTAAATTATTAGATTTGGACTGAGAGATCCAAGTTCAGGTCCCCACTAGAACCTGAGGCTCATTGGATGCCTTTGGGCCACTCATTCTCAGCCCAACCTATTTCACAGGGTTGTTGTGGGGATAAAATTAGAGGACACACCCCATCCCTAAGTAAGCCACCTCAAGCTCTCTGAGAAGAGGATCTACATGCAATTTCGATCCCCTTCTCAGAGAGCTTGAGGTGGCTTACAGACATAAAGAAAGATCTTAGAGGCTAGGTTTTCCTAGACAAACCACTTGGATTGCTATGATGATGAATGATGATGGTGGTGGTGATGATGATGATGATGATGACAACATAAATTCTTCCCTGTGGGATTCAGTCTAAATATTCTGCTTGGGATCCACCTTGCCTCAGCCCAGAAAACAAAGACCAATAACCAGGCTGATTCCTTGTTTTTCATGCAAGGTTTCCCCCAATAATGATAACAAAGGCAGCGCATCTTTTCTGCTATTGCGGGTTTAACTTTACTTTGCTCATCTACTCCATGCATATTGATTGGGTCCTTCATCAAGGGACGTGCTTCATCTTGCAGCGTGCAAAGATAGGCCCGCTAAATGCACAGAGGAACCCAGTTTTCCTTTCACCCCACCCATTGTAAGCAGTGTCTCTCAATGTGATACAGACTTGTCTTCTAATTGCTTTATAACCTCTAGCTCTTATGACAACTATCTAGGTGGATTAACCCCGCATATCGTACCTGTGAATCTCGGCGGCTCAGGATGCAAATCAACCCTCTTGTAGTCTTATGGGTTATTCTTTCTTTCTCTGCTCCCCTCTCCCCTCTGCTTTGTTTTAACTTGTGCTCCTTTGCTTAACTGGTATAGGTGATTGCTGCTGCGGTGAGAAGGTTGGTAATGGAGACTTAGACGCTCAGGGAGGTGAGAGCGAGGATCTGGGAGTTCAAAAGGAACGGGTGCACCCTCTTCCTTCCTGTTATGACACGAGGCGCGCTCTCACACATACACACCCGAAAGCATGTTGTTCCATAATGTGGAGAGGCAGATCCTTCTCGATGGACCAAGACATCTGTAGCGAGGGGCACCACTCACAGGGAGCTTGCTTACCAGTGCTTTTCCCCTCTTCCTGCCCATCCCAAAGTTGTGCACTGCAGTGCTAGCCATCTGCTTCCTTCTGACTGTGTGTTCCTATATCTTGCTTATTGCATGAAGCTGGTCAGTGGCTATAGAAGATTGGGGGCTTGGCCCCTGAACCATTGGTGCTGTGGCAGCCAAGAGGACACCCCACTGCCCCATTTCATGGGTTGAGATTTGTATCACTTAGCAAACCTTGGCAGAGGATTGAATTGACACCCACATTTGCATTCATTTGACTGGTGCTCATTTGGGGGGATGTATGAGTTGCTGTTTCACTGGAGCTTAATAATGCAAGGAGGGAGGGAAGGATAATTTGAGGAAGGGAGGGAAGGGCTTAGAAAGCCCCACTGCTACTTGCCTTTTGATTTTATATCAGTAAATAAAGTGTTTTGCAAATCTTGAGTCAGGGTGGGCAAACCTGGAGCCACAGTGCCTTCAAAGCCCTTTCCTTTCCCCACTCATGCCATGAAAATTTGGACAGTTCCATTCTCTGCCTGCAATAGCATTACAGTACAGATTAGTTTTGGGAATGTGAAAATGAAATAGTTCAGAGAAATTGAAACCAAATATATTTATAATTAGAAATCCAGGGGAATGATCTTGGGTCGTGGTACAGGGACATCCTTTAATCATGACTGATGCTCAATGGTCATCAGATCATTTGCTCCTTTGCATCAGGTCCTCCTTGCCTCAATCGTTCCTGGCTAATGTTAATGAGAGCTAATGGTACTTCCCCACTGCTAGTTTAATCATTCCCTGTCAGCCTAGCAACTACCCACAAATGTCCTCATAGCCACTATGAAAACTCAAGATGAGCCAACCAGAGGCTACCACTGCTCTGTTACAAGAATAGCACCACTGGATTTTATTTCTTGCAGTGGCCAACTAGATGCCTCTGGAATGCTCACAAGCAGGAGGTCGAGACGTACTCCCTCCACTGTTCTCCTGCAAGTGATATTTGAAGGCAAGGTGTCCCCTACCTAGATGTAACCTTGAGTCTTCAGGGCAGATAGCCCATGTTAAAGTTATCCTCAGTCCCCCTTGGAAGTCAATCTGCCTCCAACTAGTGCTTTCAAAATCAGTGCTATCCTACAAGGGAAGGTTGAACCCTCCAGCAACCTAGCCACCACATTCTGGACCTGTTTTAACTTTCAGGTCATCTCCAAAACCTGCTCTATGTAGAACATACTGCAGTCACCAACTGCGATAAACTATCAATCATGTTTTTTTTTAGCAGCATTAAATTTTTGCTAGCTGCAAAACTGCCTCAAAACCAGGCGTGAAGATGCTAGGGCACTATAGCAGGTTAGCAACTATGGGGGCAAAAGAAAAGCAAAAATTTGAGAAATGGAGATTGATGGCTTTCTCCCCAGGGAGAAACAGGCTACACTGCAGATGACTGCAAAGAAAAACAGGTCTGTTTCTTGCAAGTGGCATGGAATCACAGCAGTGATTCATCACCGGCACCAAAATTCCATATGGAATTGTCCCTAAGTGACAACAGGATTTGAGAAGAGACCACTTTATTTTCTGGTAGATCTTGAGATGTTGGCATTGCCACCCATTTCTAGGGGACATGGAAAAAGTTCTTATCAGTTTTGTTTAACCAAAAAGGAACAAACATTCCTTTTAACACATTTCCTGTCTCTAGGAACAACTTTGCCCTGCATAATCCCCGGAATTGTTGGTCCACCTGGACTCCCTGGACCTTCAGGATTTCCAGGTAGGTAGCATTGGACATTGACCCTAGCTAGATTGACCATACTAGCTGGAATGCTTCCATGCAGAAAGTATCTAGGGGAGTCATAGCATCATTACAGTTTTTTCTAGGAGGCTAGGAAGGACACATGTATGTTTCTTCCCAAACTGATTTTCTCCTCTAACTTCAGGTCCCAGGGGTAGCAAAGGATTCCCTGGTTTTCCAGGGCAGCCAGGTTTATATGGCTTAAAAGGAGAACTGGGTACACCTGGATTGGCTGGACTCCCAGGAATGCCAGGTAAGAACCAGAAAAGAGGGAAAATTCCAGAAGACATTTCCATAATATGGCCAAAACCCCTATATGGATGTATCCATGAAGTCACCAGGAATCAACTTAACTGAAATAAGTTTTTTAATCTAACTATTCCACCAACAGATTCCAGCATTTGCCATTCCCACCAGTGAGTATAGGGAATGGAGCACAGAAATAGATGAGCAAAACCCCATATACTTTCCCTTAATGGATATCCCTTATGATTGACAATTGGAAACTCAACAAGACATGGAGCCTGGGGTGCTTCTGTTCAGTGTTTCAATCAGCAGCTTTGCCTTTTTGGGTGGTGTCCATTCCATCTTCCTGTCCCTTACAGTTGGCTTGCCCTAGATTGTAATGGGATGTCGGAATGACCTTGGGAGACAGGAAAAAGAACTGCAGAGTAAGCAGTGGTCAGATAAGAGGCAGCTTAGCCTGCAGAAGGAATGTGGGTAGCAAACATCTCAGAAGGGAACCTCCCTGGTTTTTTGGAATGTAAAGGCAAGGGGGGAGAGAGATATTTTCAGTCCTGCACGATTCTGTTAATGTAATCTTAGAATAAAGATAGAGTGAGTACTTCTGGGCTTGCTTCTTGTCTGGACTACCTTGCAAGGCTGACATAGATGGCCACTGAATATGCTCAGTCTCCACTGAGTTGCTTTTACAGGACTTCTAAAGGTTTTTTTTAATGCACCGGCAAACCATGGTGTCTCCACGAGCCTGTGGACATTTATTTTGTGTTACAGACATGATGGTGGTTTGCTAGCACAACTGCAACACCATTCTCTGCACATCAAGTATGAATGGAACAACGTTTGCTCTCATTGTGAAACTCAACTGGATTTATTGCAGTTCAGATTTTGCTGGAAATCATAACCACCCTGGATCCATTTGGACCCGGCTCATAATTCCACGTGCAGCTTATGGAACACGGAGACTGTTGCTGTAAATGTTACTTTAAAAATAAACCATGCCTTCCTTTTCTTGAAAGGTTTTCCTGGTCCTCGTGGAGATCCAGGCCCAAAAGGGCTACAAGGGGTTGACGGGGCAGATGGGTTGCCTGGCACTGAAGGCTGTCCTGGTTTGCCTGGCCCAAAGGGATCACCAGGTGACGTGTTTGGAGCTGAACGAGGATCCCAAGGGGAACCTGGGCTACCTGGCTTACCAGGAGATAAAGGTTTTCCTGGAGATTTTGGCCTTCCTGGATCAGAAGGTGAGTTCTAAGACATCTCTTATTTGTTTAAGGACACAGAAACATTACTGAAATTAAACAGGTCTGCTTGTGGTTTGTTTTTGGATGGGAAACTCTCCCATGTATATTAGCTTGAGGTCAAAGAGGGAAGATAGAAACATGGACATGGGCTAAATGGTTCAAGAAATCTATTGGAGAGAATATTGAGATCTAGCTTTTTGATGTCTCTAAGGAGACATTGGTGGCTTGTTTTTGTGGAACAATCCATAGTGGTCTCATTCATTATTATAGAATCATCCATCTGGTTTACAAGCCACAGTGGCTGGGTTCACATACCCCACAAAAGATAAAAACCACAAATGGAAAATCATCTCTTGCAGGTAGAATGTTGGGGTAGAAGTTGTCATTTTTTGCAATTCCTGGAATATGTTTTTCTCTCCCCTAAAACAAATATTTCAACAAAACATAAGCAAGCAAAATCAGCCAACTATTGTCATGCCTATGCTAACTTGTTTGACTTTAATTGAATGATTAAATAAAGCATCTTATACTTTCCAGAAAAAAGCAAGCACTGCCTCATTTCACTTCAAAGCTAATGTATACAATTTTCCATACATTTATTTAAGTATTTAGATTTATAGCCAGAAGGTTGCAGATGTCTTCTGGGGACAAGCTAATTCAATGGAAATGAGAACTGACATCTGTTTTCAAAAGAAAACCAGCAATTCCTCGCCCTTATAGTTAATGAGATAAGACTAAAATGAAATTACTTTCTGTCTTTACATCAGTGTAGACATCTTGGAGGTGCCCTCTTAAACTTGAGATGGAGTCTACTAATCAGGAGCTGTGCTGAGATCAAGTCATACCCGTCATTGCCATGAATCTACTTATGGTTTGAAATAGCTGCATATTTAACACAGGGGTGCACAGCTTTTTCCAAGGGGAGAGCCATTTTTGGCCCTTGAGTGTCAAATCAGGTCCACATTCACCCTGATGGGGCTGGACAAAACCTGCATTGACTTTAGATTCATTTACATTTAAATATAATTAAATTAAATATCATAAATAGGATTTCTCTCCAGCTGTGTACGTAATAAGTGCCTCCTTGCATCGCTTTCAAAATTACATAGATCTTTGCTTTTTGAGGATTCCAGAGGTTGGAAACTTCAAAAAGCCTAGGGCCTCAGGTTTGGCATGTCAGCATGAGTCCCATGAGTTTTGTTGAGCACCCATGTACGGGGAAAAAATGGGAGTCAGATCTTTTTTGGTTTTCAGGTTTGGATGGAAGGTCTGGTCTGCCAGGTAGAAAAGGAGGGCGTGGGGAACCAGGTCTTCCAGGCTTTGATGGACTGCAAGGACCGCCAGGACCCGGAGGTCCATTTGGCATCAAAGGAAAACCAGGTCCGATGGGAACAGTCGGCTTTCCAGGATCACCAGGTACGGATTGTTTCATCCTGGATGAAGGTGCATGGCCTTCAGACATCCCCTCCATAGAACCTTCCTGCAGCTTGGCCAGTTGAGAGATACCCTTGAGAGATACCAAGGTGTTCGGGCTTCTAAACTTATTCAGGAGATTCCAGAGACCTGGAGATGAGAGGTGCTGCCAGCCAAAATACACTGAAGCAGGGATAGGCCATTGGATGTGGCTTCACTGAAAAGAATAATAGATGGGAAGCTGGCACAGTGCAAAGGATTACATTAATGTCCAAGAATGTCTCTGGATGCCATAAAAGCCTTATGTCAAGGTCCCAACAAAAGAGCACAACCAGGAACCAAGATTCACATGGAGTCTCGTTAATCAGGTCTAATGTCAAGAAATAAGGGGTTAAGGGTAGAAAATCTTGGAAATTGAATGCACAAAACTGTCCTCATTTATAAGTGAATTTCTTAAGGCAGGTCTCTGGATGGTTTGAACTTCTTTTCCCCAGAATGTCAAATGAATGGGCTAACTGCTCTCTTCCTAGATAAGCTTGACGCTGGAACATCCATTTGCTCTTCATTAGCAATGTTTTAAAATAGCCTTTTCTCAACCTTAGCGAGTTCTCTTACAGCTGCAAGATAAAATTAAGGGAGACTTTTCTTTACCCCTCCTTTTTGAAGATGAGCTGGGTATAAATGCAATAAGAAATGAGTGACCAAATAACTAAGTAAGCAAGTTTTTTGTTTTTTTTAAATAAGCCATCAAGCAGCTACCACCCAGTTTTTCATAAATGGCCCTTTTTCCTTTCCAACCAGGAAAAAAAGAAAAATGGAAATTGAGATGATAGAAGTTTAGCAGGAGAATGAGGTGCAATCTTAGTTTGGCTTCTGAAAATGGGTCTTTTGGGACTGGCTACCCACACCTGGGCAGTTTTTTGGTCTAGAAGCAAGCTGTTTCCATAGTCACCATTTTGTGAGAGCACACATAGTTGTCCAGATTCTACCTATGCCACCTGGCCAACCAAACCCTGGTTTAAAGCCTCTGCTAGTTTGCAGTTGTTTCTAATATTGGCTGTGGAATCTACAGTTGTCCAATCTGCATCAGATAGATATATTATTGTATCGACATCTTAACTGAAGATAACAGAACTGTCTAAAATGAGTCTTTTCATTTTATGATCATATCATTCATGACTAACTTTCATGATCCATATTCATGCATTAATTTCAGGAATGACTAAACAATGGAAGATTTGTGTCCCCATCCATCTATTCTCATTCATAGTTTCTAAGTGCACTGCCATCCTGTGATCTGTCTGAGCAACGAGAGAGCCCAGTTTTCTTAATTTCTCAACAGCCTCTTGGATGGATTGCAGTTACAAAACATTTTTAAATCTGTGGACATTTTGAAACCAGCTTTAGAAGAAATGGTTTTTGCTCAAAGCCAATAGGTTGTGACAGCCACAAGTTTCCATAGATGAAACAGCATGGAGTTTAATCAATGGCTCCACAATAAACCAATCTATTATCGAACAAGGATGAAAACAGTACAAGTACAGTGTTTAGCTGTATCACAAGCATAATTCAAAGCCATTCTTGTTCTGGAACAGATGTTATCTTGGAAATGCCTACATCAGTGTTTCTCAACCTCATCAACTTTAAGATGTGTGGACTTCAATGTCCAGAATTCCCCAGCCGGCCTGTGGCCTGGGGAATTCTGGGAGTTTGAGTCCACACATTTTAAAGTTGATAAGGTTGAGAAACACTGGCCTTCACGAACAAACATGTCTTCAGTGGTAATTTCAAAAACATATGGTAGATTGGAAAGTTCTGTAATTGGAGAGGCCCCTTCTCTTCGCCACCTCATTGTGAACCCAACAAAGAGTGGAGCACTCTTAAGTCAGGCCTCCTCAGTGGTTGGCCAGTTTTGAAGAAGATAGTCTTTTGGCTCTGGGCCATCTAGGGCCATTTGCTCCAGGCATGGTGCCACCCTGAGATGAGAACATCAGCCTTCTGTGTTCTCAGCAAAGAGTGTGGAGCTTGTCAGGATTTGAAGTCTACGCATTCAGGTTGGGAAGGCTGGTTTAGGGCTCTCTAGAGTAATGTCAGCATCTTGAATTGAGTTCAGTATATAGGAAGCCAAAGCACCACAAGGCTGGAGTTATGTGGTCTCATTAGGGGGAGATGGGCGGGGATAAATTTAATAAATAAATAAATATAAATAAATTTAGCCACTAAACTGACACTTGCTGCGTTTTGCACCAACTGCAGCTCCTGGGCCCTCTTCAATTTGCCTTTCTAACTTGGGGTTGATGGGCAGTGGCCCCCAGTAATCTCAGCAAAGATATGTCCTGGAAGTCCAACAGGACCAGTCTGCTCTACCTAAGAACATTTTTTTTTGAGCAGTCAAGCCTTTTTTTATAAACCAGCGAGATACTTACATAAGTGTCTCCAAACTCCAAAGGGCACTAACTCCAGCACGCTGCAGTGTTCTTCCTGCAGCAGTTTTGGGGGGCCGATACAAAAAAAATTCCCTATGAGCTGAGATTGTGCCCCTGTGGACAAGGGGCTGTTGAAACTACAGCTCACGTCCTGCTGTACTGTACCCTCTATAAGGACTCATGGACCCATTTTATAATTCCCTGTTTGGTAAAATACCTGGGAAATTCTGATCTTTTTTATGTACAGTTCTTGCTATCTGATCAGTATGATTCAGTTTCTTTGAACGTAGCTAAATTTTGTTACACTGTCTATAAAATTAGGCAGACTTTGATTGCCCACTGATGATCCCACCCTAAACTGTAATATATTATCATGTTTTGTTTTATTTCATTTTTAATGCATTTTATTTGTAGTTCTGGTCTGTGACCATAATAAAATATTGATTGATATGTCCTCCCATTGCCATCCTGATCCTTTTAGTGAAGGTGCTAGCAGCTGGTTTTCTTCTGTTTGCAGTGTACAATATATACACTGCCACTGATTTGAGATATTTCCACTTGACCATGCATGGACCCTTTACCTAGAGGAGAATCCATCCCTGATTACACCCTGAATAACTGAGCTGCCAATTAAGGTGGAGGGAGGTGGTCTTCTCTGGCCTTAATGCTACAGCAGAAATAGTACCTTCATATGCAAATATGAAGTTCTGGGATGGAAAGGAAAGAAGACAAAATCTGGGGGAATAAAAAACGTTCAAGGAAATCCTAGAGAAAAATAGTCTTTCCCTCACTCAAATATTTCCATCACCCCCACTCCAATTTTCACATTTCTACCTGCCTTCCCCCGGGTACCCCATCCCTCCATTTGACTTAAGCAATATGTAGAGAGAGAGAGGTCCATTGTTTTCCAAGTCATTAACTTCATTCTCAGCCTTGTGCTTTCTTCCTGGTTCACATGTTTTTGTCTGTTTTTCCTCACCATGTTTCTGTTCCATTTGCCATCATCTCTCCATTTCTGATGTCACACTGTTTTGGTTTTGGGGGTTCTCCACATAGGCTGCAAAGGTGAGAGCAAATGCTTTGTAGCCTAAAAACTCTTGGACTAACAGCTGCCTAGCCTGTTTCGCTACAAACCTTGCACTGACTGTGATACCCCTTATTTCAATCCTGCAAGAACCATGGCCCTCAGCTTTTTGGAAAGGGATTTGTGTTTGAGGAATGCCGCACTTGGACTTCTCATCCTGGAGAAGGTCTGTCTGTATGACCGCAAAGAGTCAACACCGATTCAATGGCAAATAATCAGTCAATCAACATGGACTTCAGCTTGATTGTAGATCTTCCCTTGTTTCTTCCATCCGCAGACATTTTATATTGTTCCTGAAAAAGAAGTTGTGCCTTTTAAGTGATGTTGTAGTCAGGATTGTGCAAAGTTTGTTAGTCCTTTTTAGCATCCCAGCATTACTCATTTTAGTTGCTGCCTGTCTAAAAAATTACCCAGACCTTTAAGACTCACCATGATGAAGCTTAATTCCACCCCATTGGGCTGGGTCATCAGCAAAGGTATTTGTAGTGTATTAATTGCAGATAATTAAGTGGATTCTGCCTTAGTCAGAGTTCAGCTTTTAAATTTAATTTAAAAAAATAAAGACTAGTTCACATTGAGCTTGACTGGGTGGACATGCCCATGATAATTTTACTAGCAGCCGCATGGAAGTGATTTGCCAATGCTTTCTCCTGGAATATTTTTCAATGTTGCAGTCCAGCCTACAGTCCTATCCATTGGTCTCCCATCCAACTACTAACCATGTCCAACCCTGCTTAGCTTTTTCAAGATCAGATACAGCCAGCTAGATGCTGCCACTAGTGTGGCTTAAAGTCTCCCTCGAGTCAAGCTCAATTTCTGACTCCATCCATGTACAAATGGTTAAATCCCTTTGATTTTGGTAGATCTCTTCCACTGGAATCTAGCCCAGCCCAGTGTCTAGAGCATAGAATAATGAAATGAAGAACAGAGACTGGAAAATGCTTTTTTGTTTTAATTTAGAGTTGAGCGTAGCAAGTGGAATTTGACACATCAAGGTGTTTCTGGTCCCTGTTGGTAGCCTCCATGACCCACGTATTTCCCACATGGTAACTGATAACTCCTAATTTATCCCAAACATAAGGGGTTTCACTGTTGGCAATTGTCCGTTGGTGTAGGCAGTAACTTTCCTAGGCCTTTTAATTATTAGGCAACTAATATTTGTTTTTTTACGTTTCTAACCTTGTGTGCATTAGGAAGCTGCATGATTTTGCCGCCGTTCAGTTAGCTTTATATAAATAAAATGCTTAGTGTTAACCCCTTGAAAGATGGTGCAAGAAAGTAGAAATGTTGTCTTTGAAACTATTGTGGTGGTATTTTTGGTTTTGGTTTTGAACTATTCAGGGCTTCCGGGAGCAAAAGGCCCGAGAGGTGATGCTGGTTCACCAGGTCCCGCCGGCATGAAAGGGTCCCCAGGTCCTGATGGTCTACCAGGACCACCTGGAGAAAGAGGATTGCCTGGACCTTCAGGTCCTTGGGGCCTAGAAGGAACCTCAGGTTTTCCGGGCTCCAAAGGTAATTGTTTGGGAATTTATAGCTGTGGGCTTTAATGAGAATCTTTGGCTTTGATTTGTTGGAACTTCCAGGAGAGCTCTGAATGAAGCTGTGAGCTCTGAGACGGGGCTTAGAAGATTATTACTGGCTGTTCCCTTTCAAATATTCCTAGTGCAGCTTTCTCAACAAATTCAATGTACTTTACAATGACGAATGCAAATGAATAAAGGAATCAGTAATACAACAGCGTATCTCAACAGAGAAACTTCCACCAACAATGATATAAGAAGCATGTTCTAAGAATGCTTAGAACGCTGACTTTTTATCACAGAATAAAGAGGGATTTGGCCCCTAAGACTGAGCATTAAAATTCAGTCCTAAAGCCAGCATTGTGCAATAGTGCCTTACAACCCCCCTCCCCAAACTTTACTTAAAGAAAGATGGAGAAATGAAATGACCACTTTAACAGCACAATTATTTTACAAATTCCTAGCAGTTGAAAGAGTAAATAAAAGGTTTATTGAAGAAATCTCTAGACTATTTCAAAAGCAATTTAAAGAAGAAACAATTCTCTTTTTTTCTGTAATTCAAACAGGATAGAGAAGGGGCTCTATCCATGGGGAGCTAACCCCCCCCCCCCCCCTTTTT